TTCAAGTATTTGAAAATATTTCCTTTCCACTCAAAAATAAAATATGAATAAAGGTTTACGGCTTTGTGAAACTTCTTTTTTGAGTTTATGACCTTGAAATAAATAAATAATAAAAAAATTAAAACATTTTTCGGTTTTGTTTACACGTTTATTGGGCAGCATTGGAACTTGCCTTGGGCCTCATGCGGCCCGCGGGCCGCGGGTTGGACACCCCTGATCTAAAGTAAATTTTAAAGATTTTAAATTATTTAAATTAAAAAAAAATTTTTTATGTTTCTCACACGAAATATAATTTTAAATTTTATGTAGATTTAATAGTTGACGGTCCTATATTTTTACTTCTTAATCAAACTTTAAATTAGAATAAATTACCTTTTCATGTAAGAATAATTTATATTAAATTTTAGAATTATGACATGTTTTCCTGAATGGATAGCAAATCCAATGTACCGGTTTTTCCCAATTTTCTTCATGAGTAAAATAGGAAAAGAATTCAAGAGGGACGTTGAAATAATTCATCGTTTCGACGAGAAGGTAAACTCAACTTGTGAATAGACTTTTGTGTTTTGATTTAAGTAATTAATAATTCAATTTAATGCGTAGGTGTTCAACAGAAGAAAAGAAAAATTTGTGAAAAAAATGCAACAACAACATTCCTTAGAGAAAGAGATCCGTCATGATGAAGAACTAAAGATGAGAACAAAACAGTGTTTTATCGATTCTCTGTTGGATCTTCACGTCAAACAAGGTTTAATATCGGAAGAGGACGTTATCAGAGATATGGGAGCTACTATTTTCGGAGTAGGCATAATTTACTAAAGGTCTAACCGAGAGTAATCTTGAATTTTTATGATATTATTTTTAATATTATGAAGTTATATAATGCTTTTTTATATAACGTATTAAAATATAACTAATTTTACAAACAGTTAACCAGTCAGAAAATTAATAATTAAAATATAACGTAAAACGTATTTCAAAAGTAATCATAATTACTTTCTTGTAATTAAAAATTATATTTAAGTTAAGATGTTCGAAAAATCATTAAATTTGATTCATAATTAATTATTATAGTAAATAATATTTATAATTTCGAATTAATTTATAGTTTTTTAACATCTAAAAATTTGTAGTTTTAAATTTTGTATTTTTATATTTTANAAAAAATAGTCGTAGCTTACTTTTTCGACTTCATATCGAATTCGGTTTTTCTAATGATTATGTAAAATAGTTGTTTGTAAATTTGTAACTCAGTTCCGTGGGTTATTATCTGTTTTCAAATAATATTTTTGAGTATTAGTTAATCAAATTCGTTTTATAAACACATTTGAAAGTATTCAAAGCAAGTAATGTCTGAGATCATAAACGAAATATTTTGTAATTCGAAATAATTCAAGTCCATAATAACCAAATGACCGAAAACATCGTAAATATACGTCGTTATATTACGACATGAATGGTTTGTCGTAAGTCAAGACAATTCAAACTGGACGATGTGTATTTAGATTTTTCGTTCATTTAATTACACAGTTTGTGGACAATTTAACGTTTATTATCGATCGAAGACATTTGTGTTAATAGAATTAATCTGATAATATCGAATATTTGAGAAAATAATTTTTAGTTTCATTCAGGAACTGATACTTCGTTTGCAAAGGCGCACATATATAACATTCTATTCTGTTAAACGTGTTAAAATTACAGTAGAGCGTCGTTTATCCGAATTAATTAGGGACTGGGATTGTTCGGATAACTTATTTTTCGGATAACCAATTATGTACGAAAAAATATATTAATTTATTCCGTGTTGAAACTTTTCTCCGTTGCGTGTCGCTTCGCGTTGAATTTTCGTCGATGTTAAGCTTAACGAAGACTATTGTATCGTTAAAAATTATTTTTTTATTTTGTATTATTTTTATATTGAAAACAATAAAAACAATAAAAAATAATACTTCAGAAGTTAATTTAGTATCAAAAACTTAAAATATTTGAGTAGCCCAAGACATAGCCAAAGATTGCAGCGCCACAGCACTGGCGAAAATTTAAATTTGTCGACTGGAATTTTTTCGGATAACCGACCTTCGGATGAACGACGCTTTACTGTATAAACAAAATTGTTATAATAAATTATTTAAAAATTTTAATAATTTTCTTTTTTGTAAACTCTATGTATTTATGTTAATTTTCATTTATGCTTTTACGTACTGTTCAGTACATTACTAACACTTCACTTCTTTAAAATTAGGCCTAATCTTCAATAATTACGTTTTGTGCGAGAGGTAACAGTTGGAATTATCCTCAGTTCTATTAATATTATTTATTTTCGACTTCATCCATAAATGCCTGTATTTCGAAAGAAGTGAAATGACGCATTTTTTTCTCTTTCATTTTGTCACCGAAACTTACGCCGGATACAATTGGCGCCATTTAAAAATTTCTGTTTCCTTATTAGAGGAAACAGTAAACTCTCGAAATCAGATCATTGATATTTTATCGTAAATAATTTACTGATTGCAAACGATCCTTTTTCACCGCCAATCTTTACTGGTAGTGGTGGCTGTTCGTGGATGGATATCACACTTTATTCTGACAGTTTTAGCCCTCTGCTGAACTCATGGGAGTTAATGGACATGGATAATCTTTTAGATCATGCCCTTAATAGCATTAGGAACTCTGCTTGCATCCCTGTTAATCACTCTAAGATTGTTAGGCCTTATAATGTTGGGCCTAAGCTGGGAGCTCATCAGTCACATGCTAAAAAAATCACTGCTCAGGATTTTGTTGTCAGTAACAGGGCTGCGGCTGTAGAAGTCATTGATGACATCATCGATAAAGTTAATCTTGCCTGTGATGCTGTGATGTCACATATCCAGAAAATGCAGAGGGAGGCCGCCTAATCCCTGGTGGACTCTTCAACTGACACAGATGAGATGCATCAATAACAATTTTCTACACAGATATCAAGTCTGTCATCTGACACTATCTTCATATGATCCCTGCACATTATTGTACATATCATTATTCGTTCTGCTGTAACATATATCTGTGTAATGTTTATTATTACTATTAGTATTGTCTATTTTATACTGCTGTACATGTTATTTTACTCTCAAGTTATGTATCATATCGGTTGATTTGTATCGGTCATCTCACTATCTGTTCATACCACTTCTCTATTGTCATACTGTTTGTAAGTTATCTCTCTGTTATTATGTATGTAATTGTCTGTGCTTTGATATATCTCTGTATTTAACTTGACTATGCTCTGGCGGTATCGGGAGTAAATAAAGATAAAGATAAAGTACGAAGAACTATGTGAACTGCTTGCTGCAAGAAATGTAACTGTGCATTGTAAACTGGTATGACATCAATATGAAAGATGTGCGGCATTCGTGCATTCTATATCCTAATTTTACAAGTTTATTATACAGTAATTATTTTTCTGCAAATGTCAATTATGTAGAAAGCAATTTTACATTTTTTTTCAACGTATTTTAATATCAGGGTTACGATACAACCGCCCACACTATGTCATGGACTCTGTATTTCTTGGGAAGATTCCACGAAATACAAGAAAAAGTGTATCTCGAATTGCAAGAAGTTTTCAAAGATGATATGAATAGAGATATTACGATCGATGACCTGACGAAAATGACGTACTTAGAATGCGTAATTAAGGTAACTTCTTAATGTCTTTAATTCATTCAAGGAATAGTTTTATATATTACAATTTTTAGGAGTCGATGAGAATCTATCCTCCTTTTCCTTTAATTGCCAGAAAAACCCCATTGGAAATGAAAATAGGTAATTTTTTAAGATCTTGCAATTTGTTTTTCAATAATTATATTTTATATTTGTTATTGACTCAAAGAATTAAATCGTTGTCATTCAAACAGGTAATTACGTGTTGCCTGCAAATTCGACTCTTGTCATTAGTATCTATGGCATCCATCATAATCCTTCTGTTTACGAAAATCCCGAAGTGTTCGATCCAGACCGTTTTTTACCTGAAAAGTATAGAAATCTTCATCCTTATGCATTTCTGCCATTTTCTGCCGGTCCACGAAATTGTCTCGGTAAGTGATTAGTGAATAAATACAAAAACAAAAATAAATTATGACATTAAAATAATTTATTTACAGGAAGTAAACTCGCCATGATTACAATGAAAATGGTTTTGGCCAATGTTCTTCGTAATTTTAAAGTATACTCTTTGGATCCTCAGGATAAAATCTGTATCTCATACGCAATTATGTTGACCCCAATATCGGGTATAAGAATGTGTGTAGAAAAAAGACGAATTTTGGAAAATTTTAAATAACCTGAACATTGCGGTAATTTTTATTACAAATTTATATAAACATAGGCCTATATCATATAATCTAGACGGGTGCATTTAGAAAATGTATCAAAATAATTTTACCTATTATTAAACTTTACTCATAAATTGTAATTCATATTTTTATACATAAAAAGTATGAGAATAAAATGTATTATGGTTAATGTTATTAAATCTGGTTTACAATAATACTATGTTTTGCTGTTTATTGCATTTTATTTATTTATCACATTGATAATTATTCACATTTAAGTTTACGTAAATTAAACTGTTTGTAACGATCTACGACGCCTCCATTTTTTAAATAATAATTTATATTTGTTAATTTTTTATTATTGCTTTATTTTTAAAATTTCAAGCATTAATAGTTTCTTAGAATTACTTTGGAATAAAAGAAGTAAATACTGCGGTGTAAGTACCATATTCGCATTTATTATATCGCTGTTATACAGAAGAAATTCTTCTGTACTAACAAAGTTGTATGTAGGAAAAAATAAGAAATAAATAAAAAAAACTAAATACAAAAACTTTATCTTTCTTATCTCACTTTTCAATATGGTATTCGGTTATACATCAATTTTCTTTTTATTATATTCTTAAGGAAATTTTGCATAATTTAGCGGCCCCCCGGCAAACTTCTTACGGACCCCCAGGGGTCCGCGGCCCCACTGTTAAGAAACACTGTTATACAGTATTTATAATACTTATTTACAAAGTCCAAATGGTTTTCAAATTAACGTCTCTTTGTTGGACAGTTATTTGTTTTCGTGTGAATGTATTACTAATACACGACCATTTTTTCCTAATACCTGACTGTTTTTCCATTACCAACTTATTCTTTATTATTTTACTAAATATACAGGCCTATTGTATTTAGAATACTAATTCCTCTGTATTTTTTTGTATCAGTTTAATTTTTATTTTCTAAATATTGAAATAACCTTTGCTATTTTCTACAAAAGTGATATTGATAAAAAAAATGAACGGTGTGTCTCTGTTGTTAACAGCAAAAAGTATGATGTATCTGGAAAAAACACTATGAAATCTAACGAAATGAATTGAAAAGTTTTCCAAATATGCAAATTTAATGTGAAATTTTATTGTGCGTTTCTCCGAAATTTCATTGAAGAATATCGTCCTCGAAGGATGTTTTCTGCGGATATAACACAAGGGATGGATTCTGTCAATTGAATAATGCAATGCATTGTCGAGGGATGGCTTGAAGTCAATTGAATATAAATAAAAATATATTTTTCGGAACGACTTTTATAGAAAAGTTGCACCTAACTCTATATTTGATACAAGAGACAAAAAATCTTTACATGGGCAGGCTGTTGATGAGGCATACAAATCTCCAATCCTGGTATGTCTGAGTTCAATTGTTTCACATACAGGGAACATACCGGATCCCGATTTATAGTTGCATTACTACACAGGCTAATGTAAATATTAAAATTTGGATGTGTTTTATGTTTTATGACGTTATTATTATATCATTTACAGACGATGTCTCATACTTGATCCTAAAGATCCTTACATTTGTTTAACTGTAACGTAAACAGCTCATTTCGTTATCTTTGCCACTATTGCCTGCTAAGAAGATGAAATTGATTAATTTTCATAACATTTAAAAAGGTCACTCGACATTAAATAACTTCTATTCTTATAAATTTCCTCGTTGCACAGTTATTTTACTAAATATTTGTCGAAATCATTATAAACGGACAACTTAGTATACATAAACATTAATATAAAATTGCGGTATAAAAGTTTTCATGTTAAATTTGATTTTACGTGAAATTTTTGTCTTGACAAAAATAAAGGTTCTACACCAAAAATGGCCAACCTTTTTAGCAGGCGGGCCAAATTTTAGAAATAATATTTCCTGCCGGGCCACGCACCTAATATTTTTTATGTTAATTGTTTGACCACGATCTCATCTACTGGAAAGCAACCACATCGTTGCTTTCCAGTAGGTGAGATCGTGGTCAAACACTTGCCTGGTTTAATGTAAAAAAAACACAAAAATAAGTATATATATATATATATATA